TATTATAAAGGGGTTAATAAATTAAGATTTAAACAAATTTAACATCCGTTTATCAATAATGTGGCGATTATTGGTAACTATCAGTGCTTTCATAACCATCTCAAAAGCACAGTCTTCGGGACGACTCAATGTGTTATCCAATGAATTACTGCAACAATTCATGACTCGTTTGGATAACAATCAAAACTTAGAGGACATTGCCTTTGATTCCCGAGTTAGTCGTCTTTTCAAAGATGAAAATTTTTAAATTAAACGATATTTTAAAATGTATACATATTTTACAACACATAGAATACAAACCCAATCCGAGTGGCGAAGGGATCGCCCGACTATGAAATACATCCTTTTAGATTTCAAACCAGAGATGACATCCTTCTGCCACGAGAGCCATCGCCACGAAAGGAGTATTTGGAGCACTCGTCCCTCTGGGGGCACCAGTATATGCAGGGCGGCGCCGGTGAGGGCAGTCAACGGCTCAAACCTGACGGTAGCATTAAAAACGTTCAGGTGATCAAAACCGATGCAGTACTACCAGCCTATTGTAATCCACCGAATCCCTGTCCAATTGGATATACCTGTAAGTATTGGATGAAAATTTTTATTACAAATATTTTTAATGAAAATAAATGCGATTCTTAGCCGAAGATGGATGCCTTGAAGACTTCGAAAACACTGCGGCATTCAGTCGAGACTACCAGTCCTCTCAGGAATGTATGTGCGATACGGAGCACATGTTTGACTGCCCCGGAAATACCGATGAGAATGAATTGGAAACACTCGCCCGGAGTATACAGAACGAGGGGATTATGGACTCGACTTTAGATAAATTAGTCGATAATATCCGAGTCGACGATTCCGAGCATAAAGTTGTGGCCAAAAAGTTTTTCACTAAACAGGTTAGCTTTCATATATTTACAGCTATATGTCATTTATTTGATTCATTGAAATTCATTTAATATATTTTGAGTGAATCGATGAGTGAATGAATGATTGAATTTGTGTTCACAGAATCATAACCACTATTTAAAACAGGTCGTCAAAAAGGCCAGAGATGTTGGCGCCAAAGCACACAAACTCGTGAGTTATGATCAATCATATGGTAATGGTATAGGAAAATAATGGATTTTATTTGTTTCAGACAAATAATCCGTTCCTAACGGGAGATAAGCTTCCAGTTGTGGCTAAAAAGGTACCCCATTTGGCAAAAGGCATTTAAACTGGTTTTAAGGCATTATCAAATTTATCGATTCTGTTTATTTTAAAAATTATATTCTTATGTATATTTTAATTACAATTTATTATTAATGTCTATCACTTATTATAAATTATTTTGTCTGTAAATGTGATAATAAGTTTATTTGAAGTACCGGTACTTTTTATTTTCCCTTTATCACTGGTTTTTGTGATATAATTATTAGTTTTGTGATCAACTGTTTATGAATTATCTGACATTTTACCTTTTTTCAAATTATAAAGAAAAAATATTTTTAATGATAAATAATTACGAAAATTATAAAATAAGTTGCAACCCTTAGATGTTATCATAGAGATAAATACAAATTAATTAGTGAATGAATGATTGAATTTGTGTTCACAGAATCATAACCACTATTTAAAACAGGTCGTCAAAAAGGCCAGAGATGTTGGCGCCAAAGCACACAAACTCGTGAGTTATGATCAATCATATGGTAATGTTAGAGGAAAATAATGGATTTTATTTGTTTCAGACAAATAATCCGTTCCTAACGGGAGATAAGCTTCCAGTTGTGGCTAAAAAGGTACCCCATTTGGCAAAAGGCATTTAAACTGGTTTTAAGGCATTATACAATTTATCGATTCTGTTTATTTTAAAATTATATTCTTATGTATATTTTAATTACAATTTATTATTAATGTCTATCAATTATTATAAATTATTTTGTCTGTAAATGTGATAATAAGTTTATTTGAAGTACCGGTACTTTTTATTTTCCCTTTATCACTGGTTTTTGTGATATAATTATTAGTTTTGTGATCAACTGTTTATCAATTATCTGACATTTTACCTTTTTTCAAATTATAAAGAAAAAATATTTTTAATGATAAATAATTACGAAAATTATAAAATAAGTTGCAACCCTTAGATGTTATCATAGAGATAAATACAAATTAATT